CGGAGGTCTAACAACATCTCTTTCCTGGAATTGTTGTGCCAAATGTGTAACCCAATCAGACACGTACATTTGGGTTATTACTATTATGTTCATGCAGGATATCTGAACAGCCTTATGCGGTTTTTCCCCTATATATAATTACTCCATTACCTCAGTAACAGAGGCTGTGAAACAATTTGTATCTCATACAAATCGACTGTGCTTGTCGTAAGAGGCGACTAACGTGGTGGTCAGGCTCACTGCCTTGGTTGATGCATGTCATCGTACCCCGATTGAGTGGATCGATGCTCATGATGTCGATCACTGGATTGTCAGGTCCAGGCTTTATTATTTACAGACCGCCACAATATCGCTGGAATATTGCTGAGTGCGGCGTTAAACAACAAAAACAAAACAAAAAAGCATTGCACTGTTTCTGGCGCAAATAACTTGCATGGAATGGAACGTCAAATATTTGCATAGTGTGCCTGATTAACAGGTACAGGTCAATGAAATAGACATAGAACCATAAAGTATCACATACATAGTTTGTTTACAAAAATATATATTTTATTTTGAAATACATCTATCTTCATTCAGAAGGTTACGTGTTCCAGGACATTTTCTTTTATTCATCAGCTTGAACCTTCATCATCAGATAATAAACCAACAAACATATTTCCTATTGCCATGCATGATAGAACATATTCACTGCATTAGATTAATATAATGAATGTTACTAATATACTGAAAACGCACCAGGGGTAAAAAGTAAAGTTGACACTAAACCAATTTTATGGTGTTGGCTGTGTACTACAATCATTCTCAGATAACTTAGTTCCACAATAGTAATGCCAAGTGTCATTGAAATGTACACAATTTTAATATAGAGGAAATGGAACATACAAGGCGTACAAAGACAAAGTCATTATCGGGTATGACCGCCCCCGGTCGCAATGCATGCCACATAACGCCTTCTCATGGACACTATCAGTCTCTGGATAACAACTTGTGGTATCCTACACCATTCACGTTGCAGGACAAGTGCGAGCTCTCAATCGCTGGCGATTTGAGGTCGACGTGCAATGCACTGTCCCATATAGTCCCACAAGAGCTCGGTGGGCGATAGATCGGGAGATAATGCAGACCATGGCATAACAGGTACGTTACTCTGTGCCAGGAAGTCCTGAGAAGCACGTGCTGTATGTGGTCTGGCGTTGTCCTGTTGGAAAGTATGCAGCTCTTTGTGTTGACTGAAACAGGGGGCAACGTGACGTTTGAAAATGGCGCCCCTGTAGTAAACTGCATTAACACGACCTATGCATACACGGAGCTGTGTTTTGGGCCGAAAACTGAAACCGCCCTAAACCTCACATTTCCGCCACCCCATCGATCAGTCTGCACAATACAAGCATCGTGATAACGTTCGACCCGGCGACGCCATACCCGAATACGTCCATCGGCGTTCCTGAGGTGGAATCTGGATTCGTCGGAGAAGAGAACGCCATACAAGCGTCGAAGTAACCATTGTCTGTGCCTCAACGACCACTGTAGTTCATGTCGGTGCCTTAGGGTCCGAATTGGGCTTACATGAGGACGACAGGCACGTAAACCAGTGGATCTCCTCGTCGACCTACGATGGTAGCTGTTGTTCTGGACGCCGGAAGTGTTCGATGAGCCATCACAATCTGTCGGTCTTCCCTAGCTGTTGTCACACGTTGTTACCCTGGGCGTGGTCGGTCTCTGGTACGTCCTGTCTGCTGAAAATCGTTGGTTCAGTCTTGTAATGTACTGCCTGGCTGCTGTGGCCCTTGTAGTCATGCCAACTTCAATCATGGCTATGACACGTTTCCGTTCCTAAATGTCAATCTCGCCTTTGCGTCCTCAGTGCCATTCCGCGGCTCCAGCGATTATGCCATCCCTTTTTACCCCATTTCTGCACTAAACAAAATGACACTTCGAATTTTTTCGTGATTTGCACGTGTACAAACGTGTTTGGGAGCACTGTTCTCAGTTGCGTTTTGGTTACGACTCAGTCTTGGAGCTTCCTTAACTCCTAACCATGGGGTATTTTCGTTGTTCTTTTCCAACTATCATAATATTCTCAAGGATTGATGTTGGTGCGTTTTCAAAGCGGGTTAATATATTATCTGGGGCTCTTTGCTGGTGCCAAAAACAAATAATGGATATTAGTCCCATATTCGTCCTAATAATGTTTCTTGGATCATTTTGGTTCTAGTGCTCGTGGGTTGTGCGGTCCTTGCGCTATAACCTATCGGGTCGTGATATTACTGAAATACTGTTCAAGGCAGCTTTAAACCTAACCCGCTCACACACTGTAGTAGATAACAATCTACTTGATAGAACATCTGTGGGATCATATTGACAAGCATACGTCAGCTGGACATGCATTATTGGAGGTGTGAGACATGCATAATCAATGACGTCATCGGGAGGCTTACGTCATGGAATATATGTCATGTTGAGGCATGTATGGACGCCCAAGGATGTGACGCAAGAGAGTGATGCCATTACCGAGGTGCTATGGAAGCGTTCGGAAGCTTTGTTATGAGACTTTCATCCTGTGTTATTTTGTTTATAAGTGACAGTTCTTACCCCAGATGTGCCTTGAAATTGTACCATTACATCTTGCAACACAGATGATGAACTTTCAAATGTAATACTTTTCTGGTATTGTTTTTATGAGAAGTCCAAGTCGATGCATACTTTCTTTTGATCAGTTGTTTGAAATTTGTCATTCACGAGTGTGAAGTATGAATGGCGATAAACGAACTATTGCTTATAACTACTGGTTACCTATACAAATGCTTTCCTTTATCTCACTTGGTTTTACACCGCTTTTAGCAATATTCCAGCAATATCACGGCAGGGGACACCAGAAATGGGCTTCACACATTGTACCCATGTGGTTAATCGAACCAGGGTCTTCGACGTGACGAGCGAACGCTTTAACCACTAGGCTACCCGACTGCCCCTCTTATCTGCTGCTGATGTGGAAGCAGTGTCATATTCTTCTGTTGTCAAAACAGGATTTTTCAGACGATGCCGTCGAGAAAGAGAAAGTTACCTCGGATTTGGCGTCAATACGATTCCCTTCACAACCTGGCAGTTCTTGGCACCTGGAAGGGACAATGTTGTTCCAATATCTGAAACTGATCACTGGTGCATTCCTATTTTCGATTCACTCTTTGTCACCCTCCAAGGAGGTAGGCAATACATGGCATTTTAATCAGTGTACCAGTCAAAAGCTCCTAATTAATTGCACTTCAGGTTAGGTGCTTCCCTGTATTTTTCTTTCAGATTGAGGGGCTGAGATATACATACAGACTAAGATAACCCTAACCTTAGACATAACCCAAGCTAGTGTCAAAATATATCTCGGGATTGGAGTATGTCTTCAGCAACCCATGCTTGCCGTAAAAGGCGACTATGCTTGTCGTACGCGTAAGAGGCGAATAACGGGTTCGGGTGGTCAGGCTCGCAGACTTGGTTAGATACATGTCATCGTATCCAAATTGCGTGGATATTTGCTCATGATGTCAATCACTGGATTGTCTGGTCCAGACTCGACTATTTACAGACCGCCGTCATATAGTTGGAATATTGCTGAGTGCATCGTTAAACAACAAACCAACCAACCAACAACCAAAACCATAACGGATGAAAAACCAATAGACAATCCTTAGGTTTCTGTGAGTATTTGACTGTACAATTGCCACATTGAACCCTATATCAACCTCTTTTATGTATTCACTGGACGATGTGTTGCCTGATACTCCAACTTTTTCTTTCTTGTCCAAGAATCCATGAGATCACAAACCTAAGAGCACTTAGAATCCTCTGGTCTCATGCGATACTGTTATCTGTTGTGAAATATTTCGCCACCATGCCCTGTAAGAGTTGCTGTTAGTATCTTTCAATTCGTGATAAAAAACAGTTTCTGAAATAAGAGATATTTATTTTGCAATATCGCCAGTAATGACCAAACTCAAATGCAGATGAAGGTGTCTAAAACCTTATTAGCATTATCACTTCATTATCACAAACATTCTAAAACCTAAACTGTTTTCAGATGTATGCGACCTCTTTCATTATAGAACAAAGAAAGTTTATTAGTAAATTCCTATTATGATACCAGACATGCTCCTAACGTACCAGTCTCATTACAAAACATGTCATTAATTTGTCGATGAAGATTACCTAATGCAGAATGTATGTGTTGGCACCTCTATGTTCTGTATGCAGTGGCGTCACATTGTAAAATAACCACCAATAATAAAATCATCAACGCATGTATAGCATCCAAAACACATTATTGAAGTTATCAGTTATTTGCATTAAACCAGAATCCCGTCTGTTCCACAGATGCAATATGACAAGAGAATGATTGTGCAAATACTCCTATGCCATTATGCTCCCTAGTCAGTAATGGGTTTTCACGTTGCCAGTGTGTTGAGCCATTGAGAGAAGAGGCAAAATTTTATGATTTCTCGTGTTAATACTTGAACTACAGCAGGTTCCATTATAACACTTGAGTGTGAAACACGAACATAAACTCCCCCAGAAGGCATTGGCGCCTCTTGTCGAGGGTGTTCCTTCAACATTAAGCTGACACGATTTGATATAACTGAAATACTATTCAGTAGTGTTAAGCATTTCTCCTATCGAACATCTCTCAGTCTGGTATTCAGTACAGATGCATATATAAAAAGGTAGCAATGGTGATCTTCAAACATTTCATCTGCTTGACTACATTGATTTGTTTATGTGGAGGGACCAGCATCAAAGAACAGAAGAGACTTCTTCATTTTTTGCAAGATGACTATGAGCCGCAAGTTTTTCCAAGTGAAACCAGGTTGAATATAGACGTAAGATTTACTTTGTCGCAAATTACTGAGCTTAATGAGAGGCAACAATCGATGACCACAAATGGATGGTTTTCCTTTAAGTGGCGGGATGATTCATTGAGGTGGAACATTACGGATTATGCAGGGATAGAGATGATCTGTATGTCAAGTGAAAATATATGGATGCCCGACATAACGCTCATGAACACAGTTGAAGAGCGCAAGCTGCTGAACAATCTGAACGCGCCTGCTTGTGTACATCATTCTGGAACGGTTGAATGGGAACGAGGGGATCTCTACCAAAGTCAGTGTGACTTTGACATTACACATTTTCCATTTGATACTCAGACCTGCCATCTGAATCTCTCCACGTGGACGACCACGAACATATCTGCTCGTTTCATACCTTCAATTGATGAAAACAGCAGTACCGTCACAACTAATGTGAATGGACTGTGGAAGATTAAAACTTTGTCATCCGCTACCGCTGATAACAAATTTCCTGAAATCGTTGTAACAGCAATCTTACAGCGTCGGGCGTCATATTATGTCCTCAATCTCATCATCCCCGTCATGTTTCTGTCCCTCCTCAGCTCCGTGGTCTTTGCTCTGCCTATACAATACGGGGATAAAGTGTCTCTCTCCATGACGGTTCTCCTCTCATTCAGCTTGTTTCTGACGCAGATGAGCAACAACATGCCCAGGACGTCCCTACAAACGTCCTACCTCACCATCTACATGACCCTGCTCCTCACTCTCAGCTCCCTTACTGTGGCAATATCAGTTTTCATTCTTAAGATCCATCAGAGAACGGGAGATGTACCTGTAGTGTTGCAGAATTATGTCACATTTTGGAAATATGTTATTCCTAATCCGCCTTTGAATGCAATGGAATCTGATGAACAGGACGATCCAGTTGAAGACATTGATCAGAAGAAGTGCAATACAGTGGTCACCTGGAAAGATGTATCTCTTGTACTTGATGCTCTGTGTCTAAGATTCTTCTTCCTGCTTAATGTTGGTTGTGGTATTATTTTCTTTGCCCTTGTCATTTGAAAATGTATTATTGCATCGACGCCTGTGTCCCAAATGAACCAATTTATGTTTCTTATGTCCATTGAATAACCTTTTCCATAAGAAGAATTTCAAATTTAATTACAATTGGCATGCTTTATAAAAGAATACCTAACCAATTGTAAAATGTAGACGGAACTGATGCTATATGCCTCAACATGAAGGGGATATTCTCTAATTCCTCCCTCCCAGCTTCGAACAGAGGCTGCTGTTAGTTTGTGTTTCTAAGCAAATATCCAGATTAGACTCTGAATATGGTTTCTCTTTTGTTTCATTGCTTTCTGACTGCAATGGTGGATAGATGAGGTGAACATACTCATTTACCTTGGCATTGTTGAAACTAATGATTTAACTGAAGCAGTAAAAAAACAAAAAAGATATCAGCTGGGACGTGTGGTGAAATGGGGTTTAACGTCGCGTTCAAGATCATTGCACTTATATTGCGACGTGCGTGCGTGCGTGCGTGCGTGCATGCATGTTTGTGTGTGTGTGTGCTTGTACTAGTCCGGACTAATGTCGATTATAGTGCTAGCCCACTGAGATACCATGCCGCAGTTTAAATTGAATACCCCACTCAGACACAGTATACTGACCCCGAGCCGACCAGTGCTTGTTTTAACAGTGTATCCGTATGGCATGGAATCTGATATGCAGTGGAACAAATAACACATGTCATATTTTGCCTTAGGTAATGATACTTGTCACAACATTAAACTTCATGTTGTCCAGTCATGGACTCAATGGTAATGTAATTAACATGGTGAGATGTTGGCACAACATTAACTTCATGTAGTCCAGTCATGGACTCAATGGTAATGTAATTAACATGGTGAGATGTTGGCACAACATTAACTTCATGTAGTCCAGTCATAGACTCAATGTGTAATGTAATTGACATGGTGAGATGTTGTCACAACATTAACTTCATGTAGTCCAGTCAAAGATTCAATGTGTAATGTAATTAAAATGGTGAGATGTTGTCACAACATTTAACTTCATGTAGTCCAGTCATAGACTTAACGTGTAATGTAATTAACATGGTGAGATGTTGCCACAACATCAACTTCATGTAGTCCAGTCATAGACTCAATGTGTAATGTAATTAACATGGTGAGATGTTGTCACAACATTAACTTCATGTAGTCCAGTCATAGACGCAACGTGTAATGTAATTAACATGGTGAGATGTTGTCACAACATTTAACTTCATGTAGTCCAGTCATAGACTCAATGTGTAATGTAATTAACATGGTGAGATGTTGGCACAACATTGAACTTCATGTGGTCCAGTCATAGACTAAATGTGTAATGTAATTAACATGTTAAGATGTTGTCAGTCATGGACTCAATGTGTTATATAATTAACATGTTGTGATGTTATGTATTGTTTAGTAAATATTTATTTTACCTGCTATGAAACACTGCAGGAAATAGCACGATAAGCGCATATTATAAGTACCGATGTTTCATTACCATTATACACCGTATGACTTAAAAGATGATGACAGCAAACTTTAATGCAATTTGATCTTGGTTTGTGCAGAAGGGTACTGATTATCATAAATGTCATTTGTTTATTTGATGTGCTGGTCACATCTCTTCCAAAATGTGCCGCGTCAAGGAGCACTAACATGTGAGAAATTGTTACAAGTGACGCCAGTGTCCTCTAATTATTCAGTAATCACTGAGGTTAACGAGGTCCTTGCCATGGGTCATGGAAAGGCACCAGGTTTCATGTCTCTTTGCGGCAGACTTAGCTGATGGATTGTGTAAAGGCCCCTACAGAAATGCTTATTTGGGCTTTACAGCCAATCATTTTAAGATTTATACCAGCACTTGTATAGAAACATATACATCGTCCACATGTTCCTAACTGTATAGTGTTGTAGTGTGTTTACTATTCGACGATCGAAAACAGATTCTCGTTTGTGAAAAAAAACAATATGAACATTCAATTGTTTGTATGCGCTTATGTCATTGTTTGTATATCATGGTCTTATGTATGTTACTGTACTTGGTAGATAATTACTATTGTCACTAATGAAAAAGGGGCTTCTCTCAAATTATGTACATCACATCAAATTTAACTTCAAGTTTATGTGTAAACAGTCCAAAGTTGATTGATGTTTGTTTCTTTCTTTCTTTGATTGTTGTTTAACGCCGCCCTCAGCAATATTCCAGCTATATGACGGCGGTCTGTAAGTAATCGCGTCTGGACCAGACAACAAAGTGATTAATATCATGAGCATCGATCCACGCAATTGGGATCGATGACATGCATCAACCAAGTCAGCGACCCTGACCACCCGATCCAGTTAGTCGCCTTTTACAAGCATAGTCGTCAGTTTGGTTAACTTAAGCTTCAGGTATATCGATTATCTGATATTGTTCAATAACCATCAAATAGGCAATTCCTTTCCACTGATTTACCCACCTGAACTATATAATAAAAGTGACCAGTGAGACCGCTTCATCTGTTTATTAAATCTATACAAGAAGATTCTGAGTGACAAAAATCTCTTCAGAAGACTGAATGACAAGAGGGGTCATTTTAACTTGATGTCGAGCAATACTTCCGCGGCTCTGGCCTTTGGTGTCTACAACTTGTTAGGGACAATCGAGCATGCTCTTTCCACGAAGATTTAAAAAGAGCGTTGTATCTTTGCTTAATGTTACAACAGTCAAGGCTTTAAAACAGTTTTATGGTTGACATGTGGAATACAATTTCAAATTTGAGAGAGTGAGTGAGTGAGTTTTGTTTAACGCCGATTTTAACAGTATTCCACAGCTTAATGTGGGAGGAAAGCCCGAAGTGATGCAGGTCTCAGACGTTTACCAGTTCGGTGAAACCCACGAGCACCGGTATGGTGCTGACAAACCTAGAAACATAATCAGGGCGAACCGGGATTCGAACCCACAATCATAGGTTCCGGGCGTGCCCAAGGGACGCAACTCTGCACAGCGAATCGCGGCGCCTTAGACGACTTGGCCACCCGTGCCCCCTCAAATTTGACTTATCAGTAACAAACATGATTTGCGATGCAATTCCTCATTTTCACTTATACCATATCTTCTTCGATTACCTGACGAAAAAGATTCCAAAAGGCAAAATTTTGGTGAACATTATATGGCTGGAAACACTAAAAATCATTGATGACACCATGTTGAGCATATCCTGCCCAACTGGTTGTACCCGCCATTCACAAACTGAATAAAAGAAAGAAATGTCTGTTGCCTGTTTTTTAACTTATTTTATTTCTGAGATCTATCTGCGCCTTTGGGCTTGGAGAATCAACATGATAATAATTCTACTTGTCACAAATATTTTCTGTCAATGTAGACATAGAATGTCAATGCAAACGAGAATAATCAAATCCTTCCTTGACTGTATTTAGGATCATGGTTAATCTTTGAGACGGGGATTTGGGCATTCATATGCTGAACCCAGCACTGTATCTCTCATTGTACGGATTGCAGTACAAAGGAAATGCACATCTCTTCAGGCATGAGAGTAAGGCAAAATAAGATAGTTTCAGAGAAAGAATGTGATACGTCACTTACACCATTTTTGATTAAACAGTTGATGTAGTAATGTTAACATATAATGATTTTATTTGAGGCTTTATCAGTGGAATCAACAACAAATTTTCCATGTTGGGAATATACATCTTCAACGCCAGAGAATAACCCATGTCGATAATCCATCAAAAAAGATTCCACTTGGCGTGACATTGAAGCGAGACTTTGGATGGCAGCTTGCTGGAACAGAATGGGCTTATTTCGATTCTGTTTCCTCCCCCACAGTTTGTTCATTCAACCAATGAAAGCATCATAACATGACCCACTCTGAAAGACATTCAACAGGTTAATCTTCTCCACTGGCCCATTGTTTTGGCATACGCTATTTCCATAATTATATTAAAGCTGTGATCCCAATTGAGATTTGTTCACGATATTTGGGCCATACTTGTTATTGTCAACAATAGAGAAGTCACCTGTGATAATATCACCAAAAGTTTCAATATGAATGACGAAAAGTTTGTCATTTGCCATTTGATTATATTGTAATTGTGTTAGTTGATTGACAAATGATGAAAGCTTCGTCATTCACTATTCGATCGACTTTTGATGTTGTAAGTTGTAAGTAGTGTAAGTTGGTTGGTTGGTTGGTTGATTGATTTGTTGTTTAACGCCGCACTCAGCAATATTCCAGCTATATGACGGCGGTCTGTGAAACAATCGAGTCTGGACCAGACAAACTCCCCACCAAGATTCGACATGGTCAACAAATTTTGCAGGTGACCCTCGGACAGTTGTGTTTCGAAGACAGTTTAAATTTCATACCTTACCCCCTGAAAGCATTTCCAAAGAGCTTTGGGCTGAAAGAACTGAAAAAAGGGTATTTTCCACACTTTTTCAATACCGAAGCCAACCAGACCTACAGAGGTCCCTATCCACCAGCCGTCATGTACGATCCCTATGGCATGTCTCCCGCGGAACGCACCGTCTTCCTCCAGTGGCATACTCAAAAAGTGCAAGAAGGAGCCTTGTTCGACTTACAAGGAGAACTATTAGCCTACTGCCAGAGCGATGTGGACATTTTGAGACGGGGATGTGCCGACTTCCGACAGAACGCCATCAACTCGGTTGGCATGGGTCCCTTTGTAGAAGTGATGACAGCTGCCGCGTTCACCATGAAATCCTTCTGAAAACACGACCTGAAACCCAATACCATCGCCATTCTTCCACCTCAAGGCTACCAACCCAAGAGAAACTATTACCAGGCCTGTATGCACTGGCTCCATTATCTGATGGAAACGGACCCCCATCTGCAACTCCAGCACGCGAGGAATGGAGGTGAAAAAGAGTTCACGTGTGGAGAGGGCCAATATCGGTACAGTGTGGATAGCTACGATCCAGCGAAAGGCACCATCTACGAATTCCTGGGCTGTTTCTGGCATGGGTGCCAGACCTGTCACAAGACCCAACGTGGAGAACCGCATCCCGTTCCGGGGCCGTCGTTGGGAGCCTGTTACACCGACACCCACTACCGCTTGAGTCTCTTGAGTCAACACCCTGAGGTGAAACGGATCGTCACCCTGTGGGAGCATGAGTTTACAAAAATGCAACAGGTGGACTCTGCTCTGCGTGCGTTCTTGCAGGGGCCCCACTGTATCCACGTCCCTGGGCCGCTCAACCCTCGCGACGCCTTCTATGGAGGACGCACCAATGCCAAGCGATTATGCTACGAAGCCCAAGAAGGTGAAACCATCAAGTACATCGATATTTGTTCCCTTTATCCTTACATTTGTAAGACCGGAGCGTTTCCCACGGGACACCCGACCCTTCTCCATCAACCCCCTGTGGACACGTTGTTTGAACTGAAAGGCCTGATCCAATGCCGTGTCCTACCCCCGAAACGACTCTACCATCCGCTACTGCCTTACAGATCGGGTGGCAAACTGCTCTGTCCTTTCTGCCGTACGTGTGCCGATACCCGGTCAGACTCCCCCTGCGAGCACATAGACGAAGAGAGGTCATGGGTGGGCACGTACGCCACCGTAGAACTCCAGGAAGCCGTGAAGAAGTATGACTACCAGGTGCTTCAGATCTACGACGTTTGGCATTTTGACACCTTTGCACAGCATGACCCTGACACCCAGCAAGTAGGACTCTTTGACACTTATATCGATCGACATTTCAAGGAGAAGCTCGAAGCCAGGGGATACCCCGAAAGGATGTAAGGATCACGACGCTTACATCCAGGAGATCTACGACAAAGAAGGCATTGGGTTGGACAAGGACCGCATCAAAAAAAAAACAGGACGTCGCACGATTGCCAAGATGCAACTGAATTCGCTCTGGGTCAAGTTTGGACAACGGGTAGACTACAGTCAGAACATCTATATAAACGATCCTGTACAGTACTTTGCCTTGGGGAGGAATGAACGCAATACCATCGAGGATGTTACCGTTGTCAACGAACACATGGTGGAAGTGACCTATACCCAGCAGAAAGAATTCCAAACCCCTCATTCTCATTTCAATGTTGCCATCGCTGCTTGGGTCACCGCCCAAGCACGTCTCAAGCTGTACGAGACCCTTGCCCTGGTGGGCCGCAGGGTCTTGTACTTTGACACGGACAGCGTCATTTACATTCATCGACCCCACGACGCGAATCCAGAGCTGGGTCATTCGTTGGGTGAGTTTACAGATGAACTGGTCGGAAACACCATCAAGACGTTTGTGTCAGGAGGCCCCAAAAGCTATGGCTATGAGTTAATGAACCCCAGACCCGATGGAACGCGCACGACCTGCAAAGTGCGAGGGTTCACTTTGAATTACAGAAACCAACAACATCTCAACTTTGACACCATGAAAGGACTGACAACGGCCTGGGAAAGAGGGGGAAAAAATCAGTTTGGATTACCCTCATCACATCATTCGAAAAGGACCTCGGCACGAAAACGCTCTTGTGACCCGACCCACTCGAAAAGACTATCGTACCGTGTACGACAAGCGACGTCTCTTCTACGATGAAAACACAGGGCTGCCTGTAGACACGCTGCCCTTTGGGTACAGAGACGACTTTCTATAAAAAATTCATGACAACGGATCGAAACTGAATCGACATGGAAAAAAACGGATCGAAATCTGACCAATCAGAAGCCTGGATTGTCGACCCATCATAGGCGGGGCTCGGGCCATGGTGGACTCTAATGGGCCGAAACGAGGTTGTGCTCTCTCTCACGCTACAAGCCTGACCCTTTGGAAAAGAAACACTAAGGACGTACCCTGGGTGGCGTGTGGGACAGAAACCAGCCAATCAGAAGGTCGGATTTTCCACCAATAAGAAAGCAGAGAGTCAGTGTCTTTAAATACGACCAACGTTCCCTGGCCATCACTTTTCACTGAACGGTCCAAGCAACAACACCATCATGTTCCGACTACTACTACCGTATGACAACAATGGCCACTACCGCATCATCATCAAACAGAAGAAGAAGGAGAAGGGGGACAAGGACGAGGACGTTCTCAATAGCGAGCATTTCAGTCGTGCAATGGCGGACATCCTGGGGGAGCGGCTAGTTCTACATTGGGAGATGATGAGAGCAAGTGCCTTGTACAAAGCTTCCCATGACTGCATGCATGAGAAGTTAAAGAGTGTTGTGGACACATTTCTGCCTCCGGAGTATGGCATCTGCATCCCCAGCATGGAACTCTACGTGGAAAAGTCAACCCCAACACCTGAAGCAGCAGCACTCACAACATCCATACTCAAAGCAGCCCAAAAAGCAGCAGCACCACACGTCACAGCACTTACCACAGTGGTAGCAGAGGGAACGTTAAAAGAAACAGACGTACTCACCTCAGCACTCATTGCAGCGTCAGCAGCGGCAGAAGCAGCACCCATACTAACAACAACACCCTCAGAAGCAGTGAAAACAGCACAACAACTCGACTCAGCACTATGGACAGCGATACTAGCATCAGCCGCAGCAACACCTGCAGCCATAGAAGCAGCAGCAGTAGCACTCGTTGAAATAGTAACCTCACATGCACCCTTGCTGCAGCAGTATTCATCGCAGACAACACCATCAACAACACCTGTAGCAGCAGCAGAAGCAGCCACCACACAGGAAGAAGAAGATGCAGCTGCAGACGCAGCAACAACACCCTGACTAAAAGTATTCATCAATGCACCACAGATGGCGCAATGCGCGGCAGGTGTGAGGGCATTGAAGGGGACACCCCGAGAAGCAGCAGCAACAAAAAATTCGCCTCAGCACTATCCTGGGCAGCAGCAACAGCCACAGCCACAGCCGCCACACCCACAGCAGTAGAAGCAGTAACAGCTGCACTCGTCACCGTAGTAACAGGAGTAACTTCAGCGCAGTCATCATCACCACCACCTTCACCATCACCGATGGACCCCTCAGATGCTGCAGCACCCACACCAAAACGAGTGGCAGTCACCACAGCACCCTCATCAACAGCACCCACACCAAAACCAGTGGCAGCAGCAGTGGCACCAGCAGTGGCAGACACCACCCCCACAGCAATAGAAGCACCAGTAGCAACACCCTCACTAACAGAACTCTTCGACGCGCTCCACGCAGCAGCAGAAGCAGCCACAGCGGCACTCGTTGCAACATTGAGCAGGCTACCTGTGTGATGTCGATGACGAAGGTTGTCATCTACTTTTTCGCATTCTTCGCATTGTTTCACATTGTTTGCCCTGTATCCAAGTTGTTGTTCATTATTAAACAGGGATAAATTGAACTGACTCTTTGTGTTTTGATTGATCTCAACTCCAATAGAATGCCGAACCGAGGGTAGAGGTTGAGTTGAGATGTCGTCTACGTTGTCTGTCTGTGCGTCTGTCATGTCAGTGCACATGCTCGTTGTAAAAGTTAAGAAAAAAGTGATGAATTAAAATAAAAAATAGATAAAAGAGAAAGGCCATGCTTGAAAGATCAGCTGCCTGGTAAGACATGATGGAGTCCACATGGTGTTCAGACTAATCGACACCCACCCTGCTTGCTTTGCCAACCCAAACAACAACCATCCAAAAGAACCCACACCCTCCCCCTCGTCCTCTTGGAGGCACACGCCTACGCGTGACACCACCATGGTACGTCTCAAAATAATAAAATAAATATATATACATAGAGACGCGTGAAACACCACTTGTGCCTGGAGACACGAGTCAAACACCACGTATGTCTATCGATCTCTCTCTCTCTATTCTCAAAATATACTAAATAAGATCACTAATCCTGTGGATCAACGTGTGTTTGAAGACACGCATGGCATCACGTTTGCATGGAAACACGTAGTACATGACGTGTGTACGGAGACACGCGTGACAGTACGCATGTCAACCTACGCGAGTGCCAGCACCTAGGTATAATTAATAATAATAATAATCCTATGGATCAACGTCAACGTCTGTTTGTCGTCACGCGTGGCACCATGTTTGCATGGGAGTGACACGAAGTACATCACGTAGGCATATACCTACATCACGTTCATGTCTGTGCCTGTCGATTCACCTTTAGAATTCAGCCAACACCTTTAGCACCTTTAAATTCGCCACTCACCGACTTTTAACTTAGACGAACAACTGTCATAGTGGGCTACAATACACGATGGCCTTATGGAACGAAACCTTACACCTCAAAGTTGACAAACACATCACCATACCCGATGACATGATTTGTGAAATGTTGTTGCAAGATCCTTCGCCGATATGACGTCAACCTAGCAACAAAGTGGCAGAGTCGTCGACTGTGTATGATAAGCTCGTCTCAGTGAGCTATCATCTCCACATGCCATCGCCACCCACCCACCAAAACAAAACAAAACAAAACAAAACAAAGAACCCGACTCCCTTCCCGCCTTCCTCCCTCCTCCTCCACCCTTCCCCTCCGCCGCCGCCGCCACGTCTATTTTTAGAACCAAAAAAAAAAAGATTTTAGACGCGCTTCTTTCAATGTCGATCTTGTTCACCTTTTACGACCGCTTCTCTGGTTTTTTTCCCTTCCCCGGAAACGCATGGGACGCCCTCTTGGAGGTGCGCGCGCCACCTGAAACGGATGGGACGCCATCTTGGAGGCGTACGCCACAGGAAACGGATATGCCGCCATCTTGGATGCGCACGCAGGACCCATCATACTGCGCCCATGCGCAGTCACGTGACCAAACCGAAACCGGAAGTGACGTCATCAGACCAACCGACCAATTAGAAGCCAGGAGCGGTACCATACCGATGTACAACAAAACATCCATGTCATGCTATGGCCAGCACTCGTTCCTGATCTTTCCCGCTTTGAATACGTCTGAGACGTGTACTTCAAAGTCAAAATCCATCTACAACTCGTCATGATGACTGGAACAATATGAGTCAAGCTGACATTAGTCGTCTCATCAGAAGCATGTCTCTAAGATTCCGTGCATGTCTGGCCAACAGAGGTGGTTTTACCAGATTTGAGTGACTTTGGCTGCAAAATGCAAATTTCGAATTTAATGACCCTGTGCGCGACCATCTCATCACACCAACCATTAAAACGCATAAGTTGTGATCGCCAACTCCCCAGGAGATATGATAACATCATTTCCATTTGCAAGTAATATATAGATCAAAAGATTCCCACTATCCCATACTTTTTGGCACCAATAACCAATGTTTGTCCAAAATGCAACAAATTGGGCCTGGCTGTCAGGCTTGGTGACTTGGCTGCCATCGTACCCCCCTATAGTGTGGTGCTACCTGTAGGGCAGGACATGCTGACCCTTTTCGCAAACACCTGGTGTCACCACTGTTTTTCAGTAGTCCATTCATTTAATTTTCATGGCTATTTTTAATTTTATGCCTAATTGAATCTCTCTCTGCGAATGGCCAAGACTTGTTATTCTCTTTGTAATAATATTCAGGTCAGGTACCCCAAGATATGCTAAATTGCATATCCATCATTCACGCTTTTATACCTGATACACAGTTATAATAATAAGATTAACATTCTATTGTTTGTATGTTGTGTTTTTGTCTAAGATCGTATTTCATGGCCGTACGTATATGAATGTACGGAGTAGATACTTTGTTTTGTAATTATAGACAAGGGGGTCCACCCTCTAATAATGTACATCCAACCACATTAAAGTTCAAGTTGATGACAATATATCACAGGCAATATACACCGGCTTATCTCTGAACTATATAGTACACTGTCCCCACAACACAACAGTCCGCATACCCACTCTCACCCACACCAATTAGACGAGAAGCTCCAGGGGTGGTGGAATGGCAAAATGGTGCATAACTTGGATACAGGTCAAACATGCATCTAAAGGTCACACTGATCACAGAGGTGGCGGTTGATTCAGGAATTGTCAGTGTTTGTTGGTAAGCTTTAGGTGTTTCTCAAACAAGTGAACCACATTGTAAATAAAGGTATTCAAAAATGAAAATTGAATGTCAACCGTTACTGTTAAGATGTTATCAACAGTGAATTAAAATGTTTTTTACATTTTGTTCTTATGCTATGATCAACCATACTGCTTGTGCATATGCTTTTGGATCCATGCATATATGCTAAAAGCAGGCGTAATCAACACTGATCAATACTAGATGGATCTCACTGAATACAGTGTTGGCTGTTTTCAGATAGCTTCGTACATCGGTACATATGGCGAACACGCGAATTTTGACACTGCATCGAATCACGAGAATGGAGAAAGTGATGACTGCTAACATGACTTACCGTGGACTTTTTTTCACACTTTATTCTTTACCTTCCCGGCACTGATGAAATGAACCTGTTGCAGCCGTCAATGACCACCAATGTTGTTTTTTTAACTTCCAATGGGTTGATGATTAACTGAAGTGGAACATTTCTGACTTTGATGGACAAGAAAATCTGTGTATATCAAGTGATAGTGTGTGGATTCCTGACTTAACAGTTATAAACAGGGTTACAGAAAGAAAGATGTTTGAGGAGAAAACCGCCCGTGCATGCATACATAACACAGGATTAGTTAGCTGGGGTCATGGGGATCTTTACAAGACTCAGTGTGACTTTGATGTTGCCTATTTTCCGTTTGACACGCAGGTGTGTTCCATTTCACTCACCACTTGGGACACAGTCAGATAAAACACTATTTGCACCTTTCATAAATAGGTCGCTGACTGACCGATACATAAGAGGAAATCCATTGTGGATAATAAAAGATTTTTCAGGGGAAGTTCTGAGGGCGGGATATCTATGATTCGCGTTACCATCACCTTAAAGCGCCGACCAGCATACTATGTCTTCAACCTGATAATCTCTATCACGCTCCTATCCCTTCTCAGCTCCCTGGTGTTTGCTCTGCCTTTAGAATACGGAGACAACGTGGCTCTCTCCATGACAGCTCTGCCCTCTTTCACTGTGTTCCTGACTCAGATGACCTACACCATGCCAAGAACATCCCTTCAAAAGTCCTACCTCACCATCTACCTCACCATTCTCCTCACTCTCAGCTCACACTCTGTGTCAATCCTCATCCTTAGGGTGCATCGGAAGACAGGTAAAGTACCTGTAATAGTGCAGAGATGTGTCACCTTGTTGAGATGATGTTCTCCACAGAAGCCAAACATGAAGGTAGATACGTCAGATACAATGGAGCTTCATGGGGATAACGACAGAAGAGAGAAACCTGTTGTCAGCGTGGCCTGGAAGGATGTTTCTGATGTGCTTAATGCCCTCTGTCTAAGACTCTTTATGTTCCTCAACGTAGGTTGTGGCATTACTCTCTGTATTTACTCCTCTAACAGTATCAGTTATTAAACGTGCACATTATTATATATCCATAAGACATTTTTCATTTTCCAAATTCAAATCATTTCACAAAATGTTCTCAATCTAGAAAACAACGTTATCACTATCCCCCGCCATGGAGCACATTGGAACTTTGATTGTTCATGTAATAGTGAATATTAACTAAAAATAGTCCTTTGAAGCCTTAAAAGTAGATAAGGCACTTGGGTCGCTTTATGTCTGGTGAAAAAATATAAAGTGAGAAATTAATACACACAAAAGGACCCTTCTCTGAAAATAATTATTTTTGACACCGATTCTCGAATTCAGTCTTGATAAGCATCTCTTAGATAAGCTAACTGCAGTCGTTTCTGGGAAAACCTGTCCCACTTCGTGAAATAAAAATATAGCACTTTGCAGAATCTAAAACATGTTCCAAAGGAGGTAACTCTGGATAAAAGTGAGGAACTGGACCAATTTCGAACACCGTCTTTACAAGTACATCACAGATCAGCATGCACAGTTTCATTCACGTAACGTCAGCAGTTTCGGCGAAAAGTTGTTCCCATTGCAGACACTATGCAGTAAGTTGAAAAGCATGGCGCAAGGGACATAAGTATGTAAACAGGATCATTTGCGGCACCAATTTTCATCTTTACAAGCATCTTATATAAGCTGCAAACATTCATTAATGTTATTTCAGTAGTTGCTGAGAAACTTCAGTATGCAATAAGTTGAAAAGCAAGGACAACGGGCCATAACTCTGTAAAAAATGAATTTAGACACCAAATTTCGAACTCATTTAAGATCATAACCAGTAATATCAGTGTGTAAAATTTCATTTCTTTAATATAAGTATTTTTGAGAAAATTTGTCATCTAAGAGAAGCGGACAGATGAACGGACAGACAGAAGGACGAACGGACGTACATTCTTATATCCATGCCGTACTGAATGGTGGGGGATTATAACAAACTTTATGCACTGGAATAACTGCATTCATAGCAGCTTTGTGTGTCATATAGAGTGAGAGACATTATTTGTCAACGATCTGTGGTTGGTATGGCGAGAGAGAGTAGCGCAAAGAAAACATTTGTGTGAGCAATGATCTCCCATCCATACTGACAAAAACACTTTGTTATTCAAACTGATGTTGGTTTTGATTTTCGCATGATATAAGAATTCTGGTCTTGCATGTTTAACGTTACTGAACATATTATAGGAACACTACAACACAAATCTATAGAGCATTAATGCTGCTAAACATTGGTCACTTTTAGATCAACGGATGCAGGTAGATAGAAGTGAGGTCGGTGACGTTGTGAAAGGTTTTCCAAGCTTTCTGACACAGAGTCACATGATCAAATCATGTATACATTACCGTTTTACAATTCGGTACATTTCTAAACGTGAAATCACCAACTTTTATAGGTTTACTGGCTTTGAAAAGATGTACAAGTCAGGCGAAAAGAACAGAAACGTTTACTTTTAATGAAGAAAGAAATGCCTCTAAAATGTAATTGACTGGATTGTTTAATTGTAGTTCAAAGGAACACTAACCATGGCCTAACCCGTTTCCTCTTTGGAAGTTATGACTAAATATGAAGATAATAAATGCTCGTTTGGTGATCGTGATTCGACTCTTTATATTTCTAGCTGTTTCAAATTTTGATGACAACAATTCCTTGTATGGCTTTCCAAACATTTCATACAGCTCAAGTTTATCTATCAATGCTTAACCATATGAATCATAGTATTGTGTCACTGTTTTAATTTATCATGACAATATCAGCTGGGACGTGCCTAATTTCTTCATAGCAACATCTCAATACTTGTTTTATTTCATTGAAAAATTAGAAACTTCAAAAGTTAGCAAATGTTCAAGCGCCACCTGATTCATTTAGAATTTGAACAGCGTTATGTGCTATTGTGTGCTTTTAAATGTATCCTTTGCTGTAGATTATTGTCTTGCGACCATGCATTTCCTATTAATACTTATAGATTAGAGGTTTAAACTGTCATAAATAAAGTAGGCGGCGTTTGTATAATTTGATGATCCTAATCTCTTTTACATACGATAAAACAGTCATAATATACACATGTACAAAAGTTAAGCGCCACCATATTCATAGTCTTTTGATTTCACGTGTGGGAATCAGAAATACGAAATATGATTATGTATGAATTAGGCTTCCATAGTTTCACGAACCCAAATTTGTCCAGATGACAATGAAAGCGTGCTTTACGTGTTGCTGCAGTTCCCCTACCCTATAAATAGTGAAATTCAAGTTTCAGACGCTCGGTTGCATTTTGCTCCTATGTGAGATTCCCCTTCCCATAGAGGTTGAAAATCAGCCATGGTGAGAAGAAAGGTAACGAACGCCGAAAGATGGCAAGTGATAGGCATGAAAAATGCTGGCATGTCATGCAGGGCCATTGCAAGACAAATGGGTCGTCATCAAAGTGTTATCACTCGTTTGATTCTCAAACATGGTCAAACCAATGATGTCAATGACAGGCATAGGTCTGGTAGGCCAAGAAAGACCTCTAACAGAGAGGATAGACGTCTTTTCAGGATAGTCAGACGAAATCCATTTGCCACTTCAACAGATTTAAGACTACCCATCAGAGACTCTCGACGATGACTGTAAGGCGTCGCCTCAGAGCGGCTGGTTATAACGCCAGAAGACCAGTAAAACGTCCTCAATTGACTGAGAGGCACATGCGGAATCGTCTGATATGGTGTCGTGACCGTAGTCGATGGAACTTGGCCAACTGGAGAAGGATCCATTGGTCTGACGAGTGTCGAATGCTGCTACGAACTGTTGATGGTCGAATACGTATTTGGAGGCAACATAACACTCGTTTTGCACCAAGGAACATCCAGAAGACCTTAGCATGTGGCGGGGGGTCTGTCATGATATGGGGTTGTGTTTCCGTCGGCTGCAAACTTCCGCTGGTGACAATTCGTGGAAACCTGAATGGCCAACAACACCAAGATGCCGTTCTTCGTTCAGTGGTAGTCCCTCATTTAGACAACCATCCTCTTCAGACAAGACCTGTTTACATGGACGACAATGCTAGACCACACAGATCTCGGGCAGTTTTGGCTTATTTCCGTCAAGAAGCTATTGCCACTCTTCCTTGGCCGGCCTGTAGTGCGGATCTTAATCTGATTAAGCAACTCTGGGACATTCTTGGCCGGAAAATCAGACATCGTGATCCCCCAGTTCAAAATCTCGCTGGACTTGAAGCCGCACTTCATGAAGAATGGATCCGTTTGCCTCAGAGAAGCATTCAACAACTTGTAATGAGTATGATGCGTAGGGTTGAAACTGTGGTCAATGTCCGTGGATCATACACACGTTACTGACGTTTCTGTCTTGCAATAGACTCTGCACTCCCTGATTAAAGAACTGACACCACTGGAGATTTGACAAGAGAGGTATGATTCTATTGGAATTTTGACACCTCTAAAACTAATGAATTTTCAAGTGGATAATATCAAGAGTACATTTGTACCATTTAACCTTGTGTATGCATTAATATTATGTAGAACTTTAAAAGCTCATAGTATTTTGCATCTTGTGAATGTATGTGCATTTATGCCATCCAAAAAGTTAGAAAAAATACAACACAATTTGAACAATGGTATTTCACCTGAGAAGAAATGTAAGATATCTTGTAATTATGGTAGCCCATGTAGTCCCTGTCATGTATGCATACACTTGGGACAATTTATCAAAGATGGTCCTTATCATGAAATAAATAAACCTTCTATCGCCCACTTGAAAAGTATTAATGTTCAGTGAATATATTTGGTGACATGCAAAACTAGAAAAAAGTACAAAAACACATGCTAATTTGCAAATCTAATTTGCATACTTATGTCATTAGGGTATGACAAACATGTTTTTATTTCATATGCTTATGTCATGCATAAATGCTTTAGTTAAATGATAAATTCGAATATTTACAGGTCGTCGTCATAAAGCTGAAGTCTCGCATTAACCAATGACAAAGTGAGGAGGTGGACAGCTATTGATAACTGCCTCCAAGATGCACTTAATCAAAACACTCGGTCACACAGAAGTCAATAATCGCTAATGGCATTGCTTTATTTTCCTATCATTTTTATTTGCTCCTAATTTACGCATTAGTTGAGTTATTCTCTATTCCATTGTAAGCCTTTATTTGGTAAAGGTTCACGTTAGGAAAGTACTATGTGATAACCTTTTTTATTCTATCTAAACCTGAAAGGATTTTCATTCAAATATATTATCGATGTATGTTGTAAATTGCTTGACAAACAACTGTTCCACAGATAACTACCACAAACCCAACTTTGAGTTTAAACGGTGTTGTATGTATATAGAACACTGGTCCATGGATGAACACGCGATTTCTGACACTGCATCGACGAACGTGAAAGCGATAACTGCTGAGATGACTTACCGTGGACATTTCTTTCTCAAATTATTCTTTACCTTCCTTACACTGATAAATTGCAACAAGATTCAGGAACAGAAGAGACTGTTACAGCATGTATTAAGTGATTACAATCGACATGTGTTTCCTCGTGAAACAGAAGACGCAATGGACATCAATATTCAATTTCATTTGTTCGATTTAGCGGAAATGAACGAGTTGCAGCAGTCAATGACCACCAATGGATTTTATTACCTCCAATGGGTTGATGATTCACTGAAGTGGAACATTTCTGACTTTGATGGACAAGAAAATCTGAGTATATCTAGTGATAGTGTGTGGATTCCTGATTTAACAATTTTCAATACGGTCACCGAAAGAAAGATGTTTGCGGAGAAAACTGCCTTTGTATTGATACATAACACAGGCTTAGTAAGCTGGGGACATGGAGATCTTTACAAGACTCGATGTGAATTTGATATTTCCTATTTTCCGTTTGATACTCAGGTCTGTTCCATATTACTCTCCACCTGGCACACACCGCCGGATAAAGCAAGATTTACACCTTTAGTAAACAAGTCGTTCACTAGCCGATCAACAGATGGAAATCCATTGTGGATAATAAAAGATTTTTCAGAGGAAATTCTGATGGCGGGATATCCTATGTTTCGCGTTACTATCACCTTAAAGCGCCGACCAGCATACTATGTCTTCAACCTGATAATCCCTATCATGCTCCTATCCCTTCTCAGCTCCCTGGTTTTTGCTCTGCCGTTAGAATACGGAGACAAAGTGGCGCTTTCCATGACAGTTCTACTCTCTTTCACTGTGTTCCTGACTCAGATGACCTACAACATGCCAAGAACATCCCTACAGACGTCCTACCTCACCATCTACCTCACCATTCTTCTCACACTCAGCTCACTCTCTGTGGCCATGTCAATCATCATCCTTAGGGTGCATCGGAAGACAGGTAAAGTACCTGTAATTGTGCAGAGATGTGTCACCTTGTTGAGATGCTGTTCTCCACAGAAGCCAAACATGAAGGTAGATACGTCAGATACAATGGAGCTTCATGGGGATAACGACAGAGAAGAGAAACCTGTTATCAGCGTGGCCTGGAAGGATGTTTCTGATGTGCTTGATGCCCTCTGTCTAAGACTATTCATGTTCCTCAACGTAGGTTGTGGCATTACTCTCTGTATTCTACTCCTCTAACAGTATCAGATATTAAAAGTGCACATAATAAAAAATCCAAAAGACAGTTTCCATTTTCCAAATTCAAATATTTCACAAAATGTTCAAGAAAACAGCGTTATCACTATCCCCCCCTCCCCCATGAGGCACATTGGAACTTTTTTGGTCCATGTAATAGTGAATATAAACTATTAAAAAAATAGTCCTTTGAAGCCTTAAAAAGACAATGACACTTGGATCGCTTCATGTCTGCTGAAAAAAATGATTAAATGGGAAATTAAGATTAGCTAACTTCAGTAGTTTCTGAGAAAACCTGTCCCAATTGCAGACACTATCTACTTCGTAAAATAATCTTTCTAAAATATAGCGCTTAGCAAAATCTAAAACATGTTTCAAAGGAAGTAACTCTGGATAAAAGTGAGGAACTGGACCTCATTATGCACTAAGTTGAAAAGCACAGACACCGGGCCATAACTCTGTAAAAAATGAATTTCGAACTCATTTAAGATCATGACCAGTAATAACAGAGTGTAAAATTTCATTTCTTTAATATAAGTATTTTTGAGAAAATTTGTCACCTTTGAGAAGCGGATAGATGAACGGAGAGACAGAAGGACGAACGGATGTACTCCGTTCCTATATCCATGCTGGACTTAATGGTGGGGGATAATAACAAACTTTATGCACTGGAATAGCTGCATTTATAGCGGCTATGTGTGTCATATGGAGTGAGAGACATTATTTGTCAACGATCTGTGGTTGGTATGGCGAGAGAGAGAGAGTAGCTCAAAGAAAACAATTGTGTGAGCAATGATTTCTCACCCATAGTGACAAAAACACATTATTATTCAAACTGATGTTGGTTTTGATTTTCGCATGATATAAGGATTCTGGTCTTGTTGGTTTAACGTTACTGAACATATTATAGGAACACTACAACACAACGATATAGAGCATTAATGCTGCTAAACATTGGTCACTTTTAGATCAACGGATGCAGGTAGATAGAAGTGAGGTCGGTGACGTTGTGAAAGGTTTTCCAAGCTTTCTGACACAGAGTCACATGATCAAATCATGTATACATTACCTTTTTACAATTCGGTACATTTCAAAACGTGAAATCATCAACTTATATAGGTTGACTGGCTTTGAGTGAGTGAGTGAGTGAGTATTTATAGTCACATCGGCAATATTTCAGCCATATCGTGACTAAAGCAATTTATACGTTAAGAAAACAACATTTTATACTATATTAAAACCTGTCATCAAAGGACAGTATAATTACTGGACTTATCACAGATATCAATTTTTAAAACTAGTACGTGACCATAAAAGGTTATTACAAAACAGAACAATACATTATAAAAACGGGCTATAGATCGCCAGCAATTGAAGGTAGATCACCATACTAGGGACCATGGGGACTTATAGTACCTTTGCTACCTGCATGGACCCCAGCAGGATTTACATCCTCTACCTTCAGCCACTGGCGATTATATGCAAGTTTTAGCCGTCAATTAAAACTAACGAATATAGTACGATTAAAATCGTGGTAGGCTTAAATTTACTTTGAACGAGGTGGATCTTATGTATCCTCTCGGGGGGACAATAATTTTACAGTACTTTAACCCCCTTCAAGGATACTGCCACAAACAATCGCAGTTGCTAATTTAAACTACCAATTTTAAAACATTCATATTTTATTACACGTATCAATCAAAATTTCTCAATCAACTCTATTTCCTTTAAAAAAACAATAACTAAACGAGAATCAATACTATTAAAAAGATCCCTTATGGATGATACTTTGAAATATTTATCCCTTGTGATGGAAAAATCAATACAGTCAAGCAGGACATGCTTGACTGTGATTCTTTCACCACAAGGGATACAGAATGGAGGATCCTCACCTTTCAATATATATTCATTTGTATATCTTGAATGGCCAATACATCGTCGTATAAGGACCTCATCAAATCTGGACTGACAACCCAAGTAGGTATAACCGATATGTGGTTTAATTTCATGTAATTTATTTATACCTACCTGCGTGTCCCACTTCTTTTGCATCAGATTTCGGATGTAACATCTGATCACTGGTTTATAATCACTGTATGGAATTTGAAGTGGTGTCACAGATTTGTTGAGTGCTGCTTTTGCAGCAGCATTGGCCATCGTGTTACCAGTTATGCCAACATGACTGGGTAACCAACAGAAAACGATGTCATATTGGCCAGTAGCAAGATCATTATATAATTCAATAATTTCGATTAAAAGTGGATGTGTACATGACATATTTTTGATAGCCTGAAGACACGAAAGAGAGTCTGAAAATATTATTAACTGCTTATGCTTAGATTGATTGTGAATATATTTAAGAGCTGTTAAGATGGCATGTGATTCTGCGGTGAAAATTGAACTATCATGTGGTAACCTGGATGAGATAGTTCTGGATCCAATGATAGTAGCGCTAGCAACTGCATCACCATCCTTTGATCCATCAGTAAATATAGATTTGTATGTGTCATATTTATTTCGCCGTTGGTTATATTCTTGTTGATAAATTAGTGGATTGGTTTGTGATTTCTTGAGTATTGTTAAAGTCAGATCTACCTCGGGCTTCACCAGTTGCCAAAGAGGTGAAGACAGAAGGCGGTGCTGAGATATATTTTCAAGATGTATATTTGCAGAAACAATGGCAGTTTTTACCCTTATTCCAAGAGGGGGAATAAGAGAGGACTTAGTTTGGTAAAGTTCTTCATAAAGTGGATGAAAAACACAATCATGTGCAGGATTAGACTAATTTGAAGATTTTGGTAATATACTGTAAAGACAATTTCATACGTCGGAGTGTAAGTGATGGCTCGTCAGCCTCTACATATAAACTGTCAATCGGAAATGTTCTGAAGGATCCAAGGCAGAGCCTTAGTCCTTGATGGTGAATAGGATCCAGTATTTTTAGATTGCTTTTGCATGCTCCTCCATACACGATGGAGCCGTAATCAAGTTTTGAACGGATGAGAGCTCTATATAATTGGAGGAGGGTCTTCTGATCACCTCCCCACTTAGAATTTGAAACGACTTTTAATAAGTCAAGCGCCTTCAGGCATTTGGCTTTAAGGTATTTTATATGGGGTTTAAAAGTCAAGTGGCTATCAAAAATAAGTCCTAAGAACTTGGCTTCTTTTACAATTTTGATAGGTGTGCCATCCAAATAAAGTTCTGGATCTTGATGTGGTTTATATTTTCGACAAAAGTGAATACAATTGGTCTTTGATTTAGAAAATTTAAAGCCATTTTCGAGACACCATTTTTGAATTTTATTTAGACATAACTGCAATTGTCTTTCTATAGTATTCATATTTTTACCACGACAGGAGAGGTTAAAATCATCCACAAAAAGCGATCCATCAATTGAATCGTTTAAAACCCTAGAGAGGCTATTGATTTTAATACTGAACAATGTGACAGACAAAATACTGCCCTGTGGGACACCTGACTGGCTTTGAAAAGATGTACAAGTCAGGCGAAAAGGACAGAAACGTTTACTTTTGATGAAAAAAGAAATGCCCCTGAAAATGTAGATGTCTAGATTGTATAATTGTCATTCAAAGGAACACTAACCATGACCTACCCCTTTCGTCTTTGGAAAGTACAACTAAATATGAAGATAATAAATGCTCGTTTCGTGATCGTGATGTGATTTTTTAAATTTCCAGCTGTTTTGTCTGTTGGAAATATTGATGACAACAATAATTCTTTGTATGGCTTTCCAAACATTTCATGATGTTCAGTTAGTAACTTCACAAGTTAGCAAGTGTTCAAGCGCCACCTGATTCATTTAGAATGTGAACAGCGTTATATAGTATTGTGTGCTTTTAAATGTATCCCTTGCTGTAGATTATTGTCTCGCGACCATCCGTGTCCTATTAATACTTATAGATTGGAGGTTTAAGCTGCCATAAATAAAGTAGGCAGCGTTTGTATTGTTTGATTATCCTTATCTCTTTTACATACGATAGTTATAGTCATAATATAACTATCTGATCTCAGATTATCGGATAAAGATATTGCTGTACTTGATATTATATATTTACAACAACTCCCAGATACTGGTAGAACGTTACTTCGGATGATAAATTATATATATATTTTTTTTTTAAATCTTTTTTTTTATTATTCCATTTCATGTATATTGTTACAAGTGTAGGTATTAACATGTATATATATGACAGTATTAACACAAGTTATAGTCTTCATAGGTGAGGACAGGCAGGTTGTGTAGGATATGTCGTCTTCTCAAACTGAGAGGGAGATTATAAATATTTGTTTACAAGAAATAGATGATTACTAACTAACAGGTAGTATGTTTCAACTGCTTCGTTAGATTATGAGATGTAAGTTTTGCCATTTCTGAGCATATTGGTTAAATTGATTTTTTTTTTTAGCGATAAAACCTTTAGTAGTGAAAGAAATTGCTGGAAAGATAAACCTTATTGTTTTATGTTTGATATGTAGATGAATCTTTTTGCTAATATAATAATATGATTTGTTACATGGTTTTGAGTGGAAATAACAAAAAAGATATTAAGTTTCGAAAGGATAAAATTTGTTTGCAGGTTGTTATTTAGGAAGTTTTCAACTTTAAGCCAAAATTGTTGAACAGATTGGCAATTATATTTATGTGCTTGTTTGTATGTCATTTAATCAAATTACAGCATCAATAAACATAGAAGTGTTTATGTGTTCCTGTGATATATATAGCAAACAACGACACAGCTGCACAGTAAATATCAATGAGATTGGTTGAACGCCGTTCTGAAAAGCAATTGACAAGTGAGGAATGATAATTTACTGGTCTTAATGGCCTCAAGGTGTCGCTGGATGTTATAAGCTCCTCATGATAACTGTTACCTGTGAGGTCATAGTATTGAGAGGCCATGATATTGAAAGGCCATGATATTGAAAGGCAAATCGGGGAA